CAGATTAATGGCGCAGAGGTGTCATAGCACCCAGTCCATAGATTTCAAAAAGAGATCTATGATACAGAAGTTTTATTTTTTTTCCCCAAGTTCATAATGTTTTAAGCAGGATTTAGATAAATTCTTAATCACGACCCTGATGATGTCATCTTTAATTTTAAAAAGTTTTAATATCAAGGCTAAATATATATTAAGTGATTCTTAAATATAGTTAGACTACCATTGAGTTTATTAAAATCTCAGGTAAAATTTCTGTTTATAAATTCATATTTTTAACTGCTTTTATTTTTTTTATTCTAAAAGATTTTTTTTTCGGAACATATTTTTTCGGATGATATAATTTTGAAATCCAATCTAATCCGTTTACATAATTGACCTGCTCTCTACTCAATTCATGAATATTGTTCTCATTTAGTTAAACGAAAACTTGAAGAATCTCGCTTTAGGCCAAGTGAGTTTTTTTATGTATTTTGCGGCGACAGTGACATTAGAAACAGTATGAGGTCAAGTTCAAGGACAGCGAAATGCTTTCATGTTTGCGAAAATAAATTGAAACGTAAAAACATTATAATGCATCCGCCGATCGCTGAAGTACCGTTATTCGGTCATGACCACCTGTTGACGAATAAATAACAATTGCCTTGTGACTATATCTATAGGTTGGGTTATATAAAAAAATTCTGAGCCCGGAACCATGACTGAGCGTTATAAATGACGTGTTTACTTTCCTTGTGGTCGCCAATCAATCATTTGTCTTCTACGCAGCATTTTTTATTACATATTTTAAATTGTATTAAATAAGTACTTATAACGGTACTTAATATACTTGCCTTTCTTTAAAAATCACAATAATAATTGAGTTTTGGATAATAATTCAAGTGATCATGATAATAAGTCAAAAATTTTCCATTGGCAATTTAACATATAAATATATGTGGCATGTACAATTTAGAATACCGATAGCTCTCCGACTAAACGGTATACATTTCATAGTGCAAGATATGATTGAAATTTTTATTTTATTAAAAATACTAAGTATAAGGACCTTGTATAATTTTTTGAGTACTATTAAAATTAACATTATAGTACTAGTTATGATATCAATGAAAATATTTTTATATTAAAAAAAATACCTATAATATGGCAATTAATCTAGGTCAGATATTTTTTATTGTTCAATAACTTTAATAATGAATTTAGAAAATATCTATGCTTAACAAATTACCGTTAGTTTTACGTCATCTTATTCTCATTCTCACATTCTATCGAACTGTTGTGAATCATCATCTTACAATTTGTATTCATAATATTATGTGTCGAGGAATTTAAGATTTATCTCTGTTATGTTTTTAAGTTACAGTAGGAATTTAAATTAATAAATACGAGATTTATTGTTTCACTTTTTTTTCTAGTAGAAAGTCCATTGTTTTGAACTCAAGTTTTTATTTTTATGATTTAAATGAAATCTCGAAGAAAACCTCATAATGATTCTGTGTTTCAACATTTCTTTTTTACAATCTAGAATCTGAAATTTATATTGAGAATTTTCATCTCTATATATAGCCAACCAATTTATGATTTTTTTTTTAATTTGAATTTAGCTGAACTAAAATCAAGTAAGTTATATCTGCATCAATAGCAATCATTCTTGTCACCAAATAGTTTGCAGTTCAATAATTTGATTCCAAAAGAACGACGGTATTATTATTTGTGGAATAAACCATATATTCGGAATTTTGATTAGACTTGTCGGCAGTCTAAATATAATAGTATTAAGTAACTTGACATTTCATTTTAAAGTATTTATAATCCTATAATTAGTACCTTACCAATAAAAAAAAGTTATTTAGATATTTTTTATAAAAACGGATTATTTTAGCTAAATTTAAATATGTTGCAACAGTTGAAGAAACGTTTCGATAGAAACCTGTCAATAATAAAAAAGTGCTGATCAGAGATTAATTTTTTTTATTTTGTTTCTATAAAATAAAACATGTTTTATATTTATCTTTAGTTCAAGTTTCAGCTTATTACTTATAAAAAAATCGCACCTACAATTTAACTTCATTCTACGAGATAAAAAAATATTTTACGGAAATGGCTTAAATAATAAGAAGGTCGTAATTTAACATAGTATTTTAATTAAGCTCTTTAAATAAAAAATATCACCTTGATTTAACTATTTCAAAATAATCTGTAACATTATTAGATAATATTATAAAAAAAGTGTTTTTATTGCTATGATTCTTCTTCATTTTTTATTTTTGTTAAAATAACTCAAGTGTTTTAATTCGCCATAATTTGGTTGAGGTTAACTTGTAAAATTTAAATTAATATCCTTCAAAGAACAGTTTTATAGTTTATTATCATAAGAGTTATTTATCTTGTTTACAACATAAAATTTGTCAAATTTGTATGAAAATTAAATTTAATGTTAGAGAGAGGTAGTTTTTTTATAATTTAAGAAATAAACGTTTTGTAACGTGTTTAGCAGGAAAAATGATGTAGAACAATATTATTTTATTTGGTACAAATTACGTTACTCTTGTAGTAATCAGAAATTAAAAGCAGACCAAAAGATATCAAAAAATAATTAATTATCTTGACTTAAAATTAACGATTTTAATTTCTACACATTCTTTGGCATTCGAGGGTGTAAACGTTCCCTTAAACGCCATTAAAACTGGGCCACTAGACCGTGGCCTTGGTCGGTGTAACCCTTCAGGCATTGTTCACAGCCAACAATCTACCATTAATGTTAAACATAAAGTAAGATTACTCGTATTGTTCATCTCACGATGGACGTATGCAAAGAGGATACAAGCGAAACAATGTTAAACATTTTAAAAGGTAAAACAGGTGTGTCATTACTTATCTATCTGTACTGTGAACACGAAAATTAAAAAGAAATCCTCTAAAACCTTTTTCAATAAAAATTTTAGTATTTGATCTTATTAAAAAATATTCATAAAACACAAAAACTTTTGCAAAATATATTGATTTTTAACTTAAAACTATTAAAATGTTCCAAATGTATCAATCAACATATAAATTGAACATCTATTAGTAATGTGTTTTAAGATGCCAGATTTTATTCGTTTTAGGTATTCATTTTTATTTAACTCAACGATTACGTTTGATAATTTATTATTATATCATGTGCAACGTGCATACTAATGTTTATTCATGAGATTATATTAATGGGACAAGTATAGTATTAAGTACCTAAATCTTATGATTTTTAAAAAAAATAATGTTAGCCGGTTGGATGTAAAACTTAAAAAACGAAACGTATAAATTTCCTGTAGTTTTTAGCCTTTTGTAGCACTTAATTCATAAATAAATGAATACACGTACATAGTAATACCCGTTACGTATTGACATGTTTCATTAAGTTACTACGAATACAATTTATTTTTGTTTTTAACGAATTGAGCAGAAGAAACCCAATATCCATAATTCCAATCTTATATCCAATAAGAGATACAGTAAATGAAATTGTGTTGCACTATATTAGTCTGATAATTATCCAATAATAATAATTCACAAATGTTTTGTTTCAAAAATGTTTAAAAAAATATTATTTCATAAACCACTATTAAATGGTCTTGGTCGTTTTCGGTTTATAAATAAACTAGTAAATAAACAAAATGTGTCTAGTTGGCCAACTTATTACAAAATAGAGCTTTTCCAATTGATGAGTTATCGAAATATGTATTGAAGGTCATCAAAATGAGACCAATTGAGTTTACAAATTCCATTTATTTTATAATTAGTATAATCTTGTTTAATATTTGCAGTGTACTATTTTGTAAGAAGATATATAGGTCTATAGACTGGTTTAATCGATGTATGTTAACAATAATGGTTATAAAAAAAATTGTTTTTTTAAGTTTCGATTTTCTCATTGATGACCGATGTCTTGCAATCGTTGATGTCATATTTCTAGCAGTATAACAAATGCTAGTGAAAATCTCTCTGCGTAATGCTAATATATTGATAACGATATAATAAAGAATTAATCATCTTATGAAGTTTAAAAAGAAAACCGTGTCAAATGCTCAATAGCTACAAGTCCTAACACCATTAGTCGTTACTATTTGTCTATATATCACACTCTCCTGTACCTATACAAATACACACATATTGAATGTTGCCGAACATCGAATGTATCGGTGAAATGTTTTTACAACTATGTCAACTATTGCTCCGATGTGTGCAATATAAAGATAAAAGGAGATTAGTTTAAAAGCATTGCCAAGCGTGTCCCTTAAAAAGGATCGACCGTGGCGTTTTAACTTGTCGTTTGTTCTCATCATGGCGAATGTGACGGTCGACAGATAGTACAATCGAAAAGAGAAGGCACTTGCACATATTTCATGCGCTTTTTAGTATTTTACGCGATGTCTGTTCCGAGAATATTATGCAAGACTTCGCTGTGTACGTACGTCTGCAATAAGTAGACCAATGTGTCTATATATAGGAACATGAGCACCGGAAATTGTAAACGTTGAGCCATATACCTAGTTAGTTGTTTTCTCGTGGTGGGTAAAAAAAAATGCTCACACAGAGCAAATCGATCTTTCTCTAATGTTACTGCTACTTATGTACTACTATTTTTTACGTGTGCATCGGCAGTATGGCGAAGTGAACGAAATACAAAAAAAAAAAAAAATGTCACATTACTATTATTGTTAGCTGTGACGATATTATTACCAATATCGTCACAGCTAACAATAAATAAATTTTATTCCCTTCTACTTTCGGCCGCCTGTGTGCGAAGCGTACACTTATTATTTGTATATATAATTTCGTGTGTAAAACATAATAATAAACGGTAGTAGTGAACAAGAGAAGCGAGGGGTCATATAATGTGACGATATTATGTATTATTATATTGGAAATGTAGAACACGGTCTTTGATTCGCAGAAGTGATGTCACCGCAGCGGTTCGCATTCTCTTCAACTGTAGTCCAGTTGACTTAGAGACTTGGTGCGGCTATGGGCGAGTGCGGATTTACGTTGAAATATGAATCATTAAGATAGTATGACAATAACATTATACTTTTAGAAACATACTTTCCGTGTCACCGCGTTATCGATTATATAATAATTATAATAAAATATTAATTGAACCACGGGATAATAACCGACGAGCGTCTCGCAAAGAAAAAGGTGGTGCCTTTAGTGGTGCAAGGTACGCCGTATTATAATTACTGTAATAGCATCCCAACGCGGACACGAAGCGACACAGTGCCGTGTTGTTGTTGTTGTTGTTGCCCCGCTGCTGTATTCTGCTTCTGGTGGGGCAGCTCCCGTAGGTTTCTGTTGGGCGTAGTCTCGCTCATATAGGACTGCCGGCGGTTAGGAAGCCGACGCAGAGTGGCTATGGACACCATCATCGGGGTAGCCGTGGCGTTTATGCTGTTGCTGCTGTTGTTGGTGGCGTACGGCAGACGCAGAGCACGACTCGGCGGCGGCGGAGACGACGGCATCGACAGTACCGCTGAACATGGTAACGAGCAATGCCGAATACTCAACGGCCCCGCCGTTTTTCCCGTCATCGGCTCGTTGCACGCCATGGAAGGGTACCAGGACAAACCCTTCCGCCGTTTCACTGAGTTGGCCCGTCAGTATGGACCCGTGTACAGTATGCAGATGGGATCGGTGCCTTGCGTGGTAGTCAATGATTTTGAGTCTATCAAAGAAGTACTAATAACAAAAGGCGCACAATTTGGTGGTCGTCCGGACTTCATTCGATACAACGTCTTGTTTGCGGGTGATAGAAATAACTGTAAGTACTCAACGACTTTTATATAAGTATTTTAGTTTTGTTATTTGTTGAAGAATTTAAAAATTTGAAATTAGTTTCATAGCTCCCTATGATAATATTTAATAACAGGAAATAACAAAAAATACAAATTCAATTATAAATAATAAGAGTCTAAAATACGGTTTAATCCGTTTATCATAACTCACTCAATTACTAGTGAAATAATTACAATATTGACAAAATTTTTTGTTTTTTTTTTAATTACATATATTTCTTGAATCATCAGCTACTAATTACTTTATAGCAAAATCTCTTTTAACTTATGGGGGCGTAAACTCAATTATTTTTAATGGCAACATATTTAACTAGCTTATAAAATAGAAAATGATCTAATTAAGAAAATAACTGATTGATTACAACTTTTGGACCAATATTTTAGAACTTATGACGATTTTAAAATATAGACTGAAGGAGAGGCGCGGTTTGACAATATTTATCATTAGACATTTTTTGGTTACACTCCTCTCCCCACTTAGGAATAAAAATATTAACTACTTAAAAAGTAATACTGGTCCAAAGTTTTTATCAACCAGTCATTTTTTAATTAGACTATTTTCTATTTTATAAGTTTAGTTAAATATGTATATTGCCATTAAAAATAATTAACTTTACGTCCTTATAAGTTACACGGGATAATGCTAAGAGTAATTTGTAGTCAATGAATCAAGAAATATAAATAACTAAAAAATAAAAAAAAATTTTTCAGTATTGTAATTATATTGTAAGTAATTTAGTGGGTTATAATAAACGGATCACTGTACGTTTACGAATTGACTTAAATATATCTTAAATTTCATTGTTATCAATGAGAAAGCTTCGATAAATACTATATCTAAGAAAAATGTTTATGACAAACAGAGTGACGTCCAGAAAGAAATAAATGATTATAAATGTATATTAGTAGTATTATAAATATTGAAAATAAATACGTTAATGACGAATAAGTTTGTAATTTTTAAATTATAATTTAATTATTATAAGAAAATTTTCAAAGAATGAAGCTGAATGATATAATTTATAATAATTAAATTTTTAATGATTTGTGAGAATTTCTGCTAATAACTTCACCTTAAATTTTCTTAATTCATGTTTCAAATAGACTAAAATAATTAAATATTTTAACAAGTGTATTTATGGAAATAAACATTTTTGGATTCAAACTAGTGAATTACATTAGACGAATATGAGCTATCAATTTTGTCTAAGTAGATATTTTTTTCACATGGGATATTTTAAATTAACATTTTAGTTTATTATTTATATAATTTGAATGCAGTAAATAAAAAAGGTAGCCATTAAATTTTGTTTAATTAACTAAACAAAAATACACAAAAAATATAAATAAAGATAAAAAAAATAAAGGATGCTTATAGAAAAGTTCGATTTTGGATTCAACATATAATTTTATGTATTAAAATATAATATTATTTTTTTGGGAAGGGATAAAATTTTGGAGTTATCGACACGATAAGTTTTTTCGGGTCATCTAAGTAGTTGTATTGAAAAATAAACTTCTTCTCAAATTCCGGTCTAGAAGATATTTTTTTTTGGTGGAAGGAATATTACTATTTCTGTTAAAATGGGTTATTTTTCAAAAAAAAGATATTTTTTTAGAAAATAATTTTAATTTTGGCGGGGGCCATTACTCCCACAGCACTTCCTCACATTAGTGCATAATTAAAGAATAAACCAGATAGCAAACAATTTTTAAAATTCAATTTAATTTGTTCTAAACATGTGATATGATAAAAGTATAAACTTACTTGCTTTGACTATATTCTGTATTAGTATCAACATAAATAAAACTATTAAATTATCATAAAATTGCCAATTTTGATATTTAAATTAAATTGTATTAAATTTATATCTCGTAATTGAACTCTAAAAATAAACAAATCTTTAATATAAGGCAAATTAAAAAAATTATTTTCATTACAATGTCATAGTTTTAACTTGAAAAAAAAAGGTTAAGGTTATTGTAGATATTAAATAAAAAAAAATACTATCGACTGCTAAGTATAATTTTATATTAAATTTATGTTACAACTACACAATTAATATCAATAGAGATTACCTATCTTTAATTACTAAATTTTTATAATTGTTAATAAATCAAAGTATGTAATGATACATATTATACAAAGCACTTATATTGAAATAAAAAATATATTTACATTACGACAATAAATTTAAGTAAGTAATTAGAATGTAACAAGGATAGAAATTCTAGTGGTATATGTATCTTGATAGTAAATGTTTCATTATTTACGATCGGTTACCTCTACTTGTAATTTTATACTAACACTTTCTGCTTTCATTAACTTATTGTGCCAACCTGTTCAGTATCAAGTTATTGTTGATACAATCATATTTATTATATATCTATTATTATTATAAAATTTAATTTGCTATAAATTTAATTTTGAGAACAAGATTTGGGTTACATGATTAACCTGGTATTTTTAGGTATCATACTAACTATTGAAAACTAATATCCACCGATTATTTCCTTTTAAAATTAATTAATATTTTTATTATTAGTTATAACTTTACAATTCTCTCTCCTTATTTAAAAAATTAATCATATTAATTAATTTTTACAAAAAGTAGTTTAGGTTATATAAATAAAATGAATATTGAAAAAAAATTATTTTTTAAATATTCCGAAATTGAACCGTATAGTTAATTATCACAATGATAAAATTATATTTTGCGAGAGTATAATTAAACAAAAATTTTTAACTTATTATCTAAAAGTGTAAATAATAATGATCTCATTATATTTGTGGCATTAAGACAAACGTTTTTTAGATTAATCATGCTAAAATTATGTTTTTTTTTAATTATTGTGATTATACAAACAATAAACAAAAGTGTGTCGGGCAACAAATTTTAGATCGTTTCATGTTGTTGGTACATTAAAAAAAAGAATTTTTTTTTTTAATTAGGTTATACACCAAAACTTGCACTTTTTAGCAAAATTGTATGAATAATGACATCGACATAATTTAAATTTAATGTTTACGAATGTTAAATAACTAGTAACATAATGTTTTGTGTATGAAATAAGAGATTATTTTTACAAAATACTTTTTTTCCATTAACCAAAAGAAATAATTATGCAAATATTATTTATTATCAAAACATTAATTTACCAAATGTAAATTATAGTGACATATTATATTTCGAATATGGTTAATAAAATCACATACTAATATTTTAGCATGTATCAATTATAATAGCAAAATTGATAGAAATTTTAAAAATAATGTTATCAAAAGGGGTTTGAGAATAGGCAAAACTAATACTGCAATGTGCAAAAAAAAAAAAATGAAAAATACAGTATTTATTTCTTATTAAAGAGAAATTTTAATAAAATAATGAAAAATAATATAACAATTCAATTTTAATATTAAAAAACAATATTTTTTCAGTTGATAACAATAAACTACATGTTTAACTTATCAAAGTAATAATTTATTGATATAATACTTTTAGTGACACTAATATAGATATTATAATTATTTAAATTATAAAAAGATCTATTTTGATAAAAAAGATACATTATGTCAATTTATTGTAATAGTATAATTTTATAGAAATATTTTTAGACACAAACCACATATTTATGGAATAAATATTTGACTATTATACTGAAATAATAAAAGAAAATTCGTACATATTGAATCCATATGTATATAAAAATAATATATTAGTATATATATTTGACTTTAACTCGTTTGACTTAACATTTAGCTTGTAGTAAATAATTAATTTACCTTATAAAATTGATCATTTAAAAGAAGTATAAAAAGTGATCATGATCTTGATCGTAATTCAAGGTTTCAAAACAAACATTGTTATTTTATTTATTATTATTTTCAAACAACTATTTTTGTTTATGTCTCTCACTAAAAATATTATCAGGAGGTTAACAATGAGTAAATTTTGACATTTGAACAAAGGATACTTTCTTAAACTTTTTCAAATATCTATCATGTTATTTTACCAGATTATTAAATTCTTATCAATAATAAATTAAATTGAGATTAGATGATATTTAAGTATTATGACAAACTTACATAAGTTAGTCTCGACCGTTTACACAATGTTAACTTGCCTAAATTGTACGATAATATTTATAATTTTAGAAGAATTTTAATTTTCAGTCAACTAAAACTATTAAAACTATTTTTGCTTTGTAATATGGTTTTTTGAAAATGTTTCATCAATATACTTTGAGGTTTCTAATTAAATTTCTTATACAACCATCAACTTTAAAATTTACTATTTTTTTTAGTAGATTTGATTAAATTAACGTTTATATTTTTGTCAAAATAATTTTTGTATATGCTGAATTTTAATTACAAAGAGCTGTACATTGAAAATATTTCGATTTCGTGACTGGACATAACAGATAGTTTATTATTTGTTTTGTTGAAATGTATAATGTTTATATTTATATCCCGTAACATCATAAACATCAAACAACACAAAAAAAATGTCTAGTATTTGCAAAAGGTAGTAATGTCTTTCTTCATTCATAACTCTAATAAATATTTTGTAGTGGACATAGGCATAGTTATAAGTAGATTCAGTGGCTTAATTGGGGAAAATTTTATGGGTCGTAAAATTATTTTATTGATTTGGAAGATGATTACCATTTTTAAAACCCTCAAACCAATAATTGTTATTTTATTACGCTAGCATAAATGATGTTAAAATAAATAAAACACACTTTCTTGCAATGAATCAATACACTCTCATTTTTTAACGATGCTCAACAAATTATAAATAATAATAAACTCCAAACTATATTTTTTACGAAAATATGAGTTAAATATTCATTAAAAAAATAAATAGATAGACATTTTTAAAAAAACATTATCGTACATTCTATGTAAGAAAACATTTTCGTCTGATTACATAATATCATTTGAATAATTTGATATTTTTAGTGGTCGCAAAAAAATAGTTTTGTAAGTTTTAAATTTTGTCAAGTGTTGCAAGTGAAACTCTGCAATTGCTGGGTAGACTTCAGGAGGGAACAGAACAGTATAAGTCTAGTTAGTATCCACTTGTGTTAACCGTGAGTTAAATTAATCGAAAAAAATTAGTAAGATTCTACGTGCCTTAACCTCATAAAAATTTTAAATTAAATGTTCGAACACAAAAGTGAAAAAAAGAAAGAAGAACAGATAGAACACTCACGGAGGGGAACAAAATGTAATTAGATCGCCAATTTTATATTATCCGGACATTTCAAATAAACCAGCTAAAGATTTTTTGAATTTTGGTATTACTTTAGTAACATATAAAAGTAATAATTTCTGAAATTTATTAAGTAATCCTAAAGATAAAGTAGAGTGGGTGAATCAGCAATTTATAAAATAAAATTTGAAAGTTGTAATAAATGTTACGTAGGACAAACAAAAAGTAATATAGGGACAGGTTTAAAGAATACTTAAAAAACATTAAAAATCAAGAGGTTCGTAAATCTCTTGTGGTTAAACATTTATCGACACATATTCCATTAAAACCATAAAACTAATTAAAAACGTAATTCATTAAAAAGAACATAATATAAGGGAGGCAACAAAAATTTTTAAAAATAAGAACAATTTAGTTAATTAAGATCTTGGTCCACTGAAAAATTCATTATGTAACTTGTGTAAACTTAAAAAATGTAATAATATTACTTAGTTATAACGTCGTTAGGTGATAAGGTCACTAGGGGTATATAAGATGTTTTTTTTGGTGGAGGTATTAGTATTAGTTTAGCGTTGATAATGGTAAAATCTATGCTTAAAAAACGTTACCGTGATTTTTAACATAACTTTTAATCTCTATGTAATAAAGTGGATTATGATAAATGAATCACTCAGTATGTTGATTAAAAGGTGATAATAATATAGGTATATTTAATATTTATCAAAATTAAAAACATCCAATTTGTATCACTATATAATGAATGTATTTTTACATTGAATTTATATCATTATTCATACTGTAGAAATTTAATGATAAATTAATTGATTTTAAAATTAATAAATTTATTCCATACCCTAAATATTTTAACAAATAATAAAATTTTTGTTATAAGGTATTTCAGTTCTTTGAAATTTTTAAAAAACTTTGTGTAGTTAATAAGATATTTTTTACTTAAATTTATAACTATATGAACCCAGTAGTTACATTTTTTTAAGGTTATTTTAGTATTAATATTTTCATTTCGGTATAAAATCAGAAGAATGCTATTAAAATTAAAATAAAATAATAATTTTATGGATTACATCAATAATATTTTATGTAAAAAAAAAACACATTTCATTGTATTATACTTTTTAGCACTTCAAAAATGAAATTAATAATTTGTAGTTAAGCACGAGTTGAGTGCTTTATTTAATTATCTATAATATGTTAAATTTTGTTTGGCAATTAAAACTTAATTCGATATTTTTTTAATTCTAACAGTCAGAATCCAAAAATATTTTAGTTACTTTCTCAGACTCGCATTATTTTATTTAAACAAAAAAATGTATTTAAAGAATAATTTATATTGAGAAAATATTTGTTTTTTTTTCTAGTACTTATGATAAATTGCATAAAAAACAAATAATCTTTTAGGAAGTATAAAGTACCTACATGATAACAAATATTTACTAATGTTTATAAAATATTATGATGTATTACACTGTTTTATTTATTATGTTTATCTTTACCCTAATGACGTATTTTAACTGAAATATTTATGTATCGACCAGAACTTTAAGGTTTAATAAAACTTTATATTTAATCCAGCAGCGACGCTAAAATTTGTGTAAGGAGTAGTCCAAGCTGAGTTCAACCTTTTTCAAAAAGGACCACTCACTGAACACTTCACAATAATCATATTTACTTATAAATTTTAGGGTAAGCTCTGGTGTAACTTGGCCCACACTTTACATCACTATTAATCTGGCCATAATAACTTACAAGGATTAAGCACAAAAAATAAAAGAATCAATTCGATTATCGAATTTGAAAGGAAAAACGTATTGTTTTCTAAAAAAAAAAAATTGGTTGTATAATAAAATTGAGTCCTTGAATAATGAATTTGAGCTTGAGTTTGGCCTAATTAATCTAAATTTATTTTATGTACTTTTCTTCACAAAAATAAGATCTTGTCACAATATTATTTTTATTAATATTAGTTGTAGCTATTATGAAATATAATATGAGTATATTTTCTGTGTAATGTTTTTAGCGATTTTAAGTTTAAGTAAGTCCTATAATTTAAAATAAGACAGCCATAAGTGTAAATTAAAATAACCACTCTTTTGAGTGAATTAAAAATGACAATAATGTTTTTTAAATATAGTGTATTTATCATTAATTCCTTGCAAAAATGCATTGAAAAGATAGTAATTTTTCAATTTTTTTAATTTATATATCACATTGATCCCTTTAGCTCTATGATCTTAAATCTAATATAAATTATAATTCTGATACAACATGATGATTTTTCATTATAATCATTTTAATTAATTATTTTTTGTTACAGCTTTAGCGTTATGTGATTGGTCTTGGTTACAAGAAGCAAGGCGTAAAATCGCTCGAATGTATTGTTCGCCAAAAGTTTGTTCGTCTAACTATCAACTACTAGACACTATAGCATCTGAAGAGTTGGAAGTTTTTCTAGATTCTTTGGCGAGTGTTTGTGATGAAAAAGCGGAATATCGCAGTATACAAATTAAACCGCTACTGTTGATGTCTTGTGCCAACATGTTCCTCCGGTTCATGTGCACCAAACAATTTTCCTACGACGATCGAGAATTCCAGAGTATGGTACGGACGTTTGATGAGATATTCTGGGACATTAACCAAGGTTATGCGATAGATTTTATGCCGTGGTTAAAGCCATTTTATGTCAAACACATAAGTCAATTATCCAAATGGTCTACATCGATAAGAGAATTTATAATGAAAACAATCATAACAGAAAGGAGTACTTATACAGCGGTCGAAGATAACGAACCTTACGAAGAAAAAGAACCCAGTGATTTTACTGATGCTTTGTTGTTAAGTCTACGTAAAGAATCTGGGCTTAATATGCAACACATTTTGTTTGAGTTAGAAGATTTTATTGGCGGTCATTCATCTGTCGGAAACTTAGTTATGCTTTCCCTATCTATGATAGCTATACGACCACACGTCATCGAAACCATCAGAGCAGAAGCTGAAAAAGTGACTGGTGGAAAACGTTCAGTTCGTTTATATGACAAACCTGAAATGCCATACACCGAAGCGACCATGTTTGAAACTTTAAGGATGTTGTCCTCGCCAATTGTTCCTCATGTAGCTTCAGAAAATACGTCAATTAAAGGTATATTTATTTTTCTTTAAAAATAATTAAAGAGTTTATAAGTTCATCTAAATCTATTAGTGATATTGTTTTATTACTTTTAATGTAGTAACATATTACTCTATATTTCCAACTATTAAAGAGAATAAAAACAATTCATTTTCCTAATTAATTCTAAGAGTATTTTTTTCAGTGGTGTCATTTTGGGGGAAACAATTTAGTTATTTGTTCCCGTCTAAAGTTTTAGTACATATCGGGGCCTCACAGTATTTTAAAACATAATTTTAACAGGACACAATTAATATATCAACATTTCTAAAATTGTAAAAAAAGAAAAATTATACAGCTATTTTTTGAAAATGGTTTATTTTAGGTATAAAATTTATTAGTTTAGTGGTTATATTATGTTAATCGCGAGCAAAGTGATTTTGTAAAATGATGAACCGGTTAAATATTTGCGTCAGTAAAGAATAATCTGAAATGACATACTCGATATTTTTGTTATGGCAAAATATGCCTTTTTAGTTACGAGTTTAAGTTTATGTTTGTAGTAAAATGGGGTCTAAGGGATCCAGACTCCCGTGGATATAAAATCTTGCTATGGAGGATAATGGAAGGGTGAAGCTCTCCAATAATCTACATTCTAAAACCTATCTGAACCCCTTCATACTAAATCTAGAAATATAACAATATAGCCGAAATTTTATATACAATGGAGTATAACTTTCACTATTTATGTTTAAATAAAATTTTCTTTATGTTGTTTAGGTTTCAAAATCACCAAAGGTACGTGCATAATCATAAACAATCATGAATTAAATACTAGTGAATTGTACTGGGAAAATCCAGAAATATTCGATCCAAATAGATTTATTCAACGAAAACCGGACTCTAAACCGTGTGTGCGAAAACCAGAACATTTTCTGCCATTCAGCACAGGTAAGAGGACGTGTATAGGCCAGCAACTGGTTTCTGGATTTGGATTCGTTTTGCTAGCGGGTATACTTCAGCGATACGAAGTCAGAGCTACCGACCAACTGATCCTACCCGAAGCACGTCTAGCTCTACCCCCAGATACGTTTCCTTTATTACTGAAGCCTCTTAAAAGACTTTAGTAAAACAATCTACATCGCCATTAAAAAGACTGTTTATTTGCAATTTGTTTGTCGTTTATGTACTTGTTTTAACTATTATTAATATTATTTATACATTTTAATATGAGTTTATTAGTTAATAAAGATAATATATGATAGATATAAGATAATATAAGTTAATTAAGTAAATAATAGTTAAATAAGATGTTCTTTTTTTATATTTGAGTATTATTAGATAATTTAGGACAAACATAATTTCTATCTTAAGTTTTTATCAAATGAGTATAATGATGAGCCTCCGATAAAAAAACTGAATATTTATTTTATAGGTTTCATAATAACTGCGATTTGTGTTAATGATTATGTGAATTTTTAATAAAATAACTTGTGAAGTTTAAATAATTTATTGTATTGTGTAATTTTCATACATATAACTATAACTTTATAGAACTGAATTTAATCGAAAATTTGTCAAGACGATACGTACATTGTTTTTAAATACAGGTGCCTGACATTTTTAATACTTTTGATGGAGCGAATTTTTTTTTACATAATTTTTACAGTTCTGTATTATATTTAAAACATACTTTTAAAAATAAATTTTTAAATACCCATTTTCATCTATTATTTTACAAAAAATTTTGATGAGTCCATGATAGTTTTAGGACTAGTAATTATTGAGTTACAAACATTTTAATATATTTAGAAAGTATGTAATGATAGTAAGTACAGCTTGTACTAGTATATTGTGTACTCTGCCCGCATTATAAACTTACTTTATATATTAAAATACTTGTAATTTGACAACTAATTGTTTTAGAATTATCATTAATTCATAACAATTTATTTATACGATACGTCAAAAGATCACAAATCGTATCTAGTCGAAGACATTACGCTTAAAAATTGAAAAAATTTCCCTGGTTTCCCGTAAATGGGGGAAACCTCCAAAAAAATTTAAAATTTTAAAAATGTATGGATCAATATAATTTTTTTTATGTAGATGCTTGATGTCTTTACTTATCATTTGGTTTATTTTTTTTGTAAATCTGACCCTTTATCTGCCCACAGGAGGGGATTTAAAATGACAACTTTTTCACAAAAAATTAACTTTTGAATGTTTTCCTGAAAGTCTGAGACTTTTATATATATATCTTAAATTAAAGCTTATGTAATATACTTTTTTACGATAAAAAAAATTGTCTTCACGGAGAAAATGGCTACCAAAAGGTAATTTTGGGTGAAAATTCTCAATTTTATATTTTTAACTTTATAATGCTTTAACTTATTGAAAAGTGTATGGATCAATGCAATTTTTTTATGAGAAATTATATTTATATCCCTCTTTTATTCGACATACTTTATCTTAATCAGGATGTAAATAAGGAAATAGCAGATCATGTAGCTTTTGGAATAATCCACCAATTTTTTAAAATTAAACACTATCTAAAGATTTGCATCGAAGCGTTTTTTTTATAGTGATTTTAATCACTGTCAGATATCATTATATTTAATCCAACTATGCCACGTCACCAGTGTGCCGCGACCCCCCTGTGCTGGGTTTTTTTTTTACTTAAAACTGCCATAACTTTTTTAAAAATAACCAAATCAATATAATTTTTTTTTTATAGATGTATGATGTCTTTACCTTTCATTTGGTATATCTTTTTTTAAAAAACTGACTCTTTACCTGTCCACAGGTAAAGGGTTATATACATATAAATGATTTTGATTTATAAGCTTATGAACGATTTAGGTTGAATGACTAAAAGTATTTTTATAAAACAAAAATTTATTAAACTTAGTTTAATTAAATAAATAAAAAATAGAAAAATTTTGAATGTAAATAATTGGTACAATATACTAAGACAGTGATTTATTAGTAATAATATATTTCATATATAATACATTGGATTAAATTATAATATTTTGAATATAAAATATATGTGTTCATAAGATTGTATTGAAAATGGAAATTTTATCTAAATAATGTTACTGTCTATCCACTGTAATATTACTGGAGGTAGTCTATAGTAATTGTTAGAAGCTGTTCTAATTTTATCCAAATTAAGAGAACATTTATAAAGTCTATATTCTTTCAAAACATTTTTATTTTCAACAATTACAACAGGAATAATAAGTTGTATCGTCTGAAAATAAAATAATTATTATACATACAAAAAAAAAAAAAAATCAATAAAAATACATACAGCAATTCTTTCAAAAGCTTTCATTACAACCTGTCGTTTGGTTAATAATAATGTAGAATTACGAGAGGCAAACTTACAATATCGAGAATATATCATCTCAAAGTTAAAAGGCTCTTTGTCATATATTTCTGAATGATGACATATTGCAATCATTAAACAAAATTCTAATACAGATAGACCTGAAAAATTAAATATTACAGATTATTTTTCTCTGTTTATTCAATATTAAAATTAAATTGCCATTACTAACCTAATAAATTTATAAGTATAATATCTTTTTTGAACAGGGTACAATAACTATCAACTATATCAACAGCAGTTAATATATTGTTATTTGATTCAAGATTAAGATTTGAAAGTGCCATAAACTGTGACAAGTGAATATTGATTTTAATAATTTATTTTTACATATTTATACTTTGATAATTAACATATTTTAACTTAATTAAATGTATTAGTGAAATGACATAGAAGTTCTAAAATTCTTGTAAAATATATATTCAATAAAAGATTGCATAGAAAAAAGTTAAATTAAATTTTAATTTAAAGCTAGAAAAATTCAATAGTTGAAATTAGACATTCAAGATTTTACTTTTTGTTTAACTTTTATGAAAAAAATCAATTATTTGCTTTTTTGAAATTTTTTTAAAAATAGTATTGTTATTATTTCACTAATACCTTCACAAAACATGTTAAAAAATTAATATACTAACAATGATTGTATTGAGTTTTATACTACTGTTGCTAAGTTTTAGTAAATCTTTTGCCATATTTTTAATTTTGATATCAGATACCAATTCTTCAATACTATTATTCCAATTATCACAAATATCTTGCTTTATTTTGTATTTTCTTTCTATTTTTAATAAACATTTCATCCTGTCTAAAATTTTATTATAATCTGCTGGTGGTTTAAGCATTATTAAATTGTGAGAAAACCGAGATTTTACACGTTTTTCTAATAATTCTGTAACATCGATACGAGATGTCATACCAATAATACATATAGGGTTCTAAAAAAGGATTAATAAAAAATTATAATTATTTACTTACCATTTTATCAAAAGAAACGTAATTTATAAATACAAAACACCAAATTATTGACATATTAAAAATATTATTGAATAGAGAATGAAGAATTAAAAAAAAAATAATTATAGTAATATCTTTCTCTACTCTTTTTTTTTAAGGTTAAAAGCCTTATCATAGAGGTTTTATGGGGGAATAGCTTAAGTGCAGAGTTTACCTGTTAAATGGTTATATTCAACTTATGGGAAAAATGAAATTTTATCATAAGTGCTGTTTGCATGTGGGCTTTAGAAGCCTATACCTCGTTATGTATAATGGTAACCCTAACAAATACAACTGTACTATTTGGAAGAAGAGGAAACAGAGTAATAAGATTGAATAACTACCTATCAGGATTATTATTCAAGGAAACGAGTACAGTACTATAGCCATTATAGTAAAATTACTCTATACGAGCCCAGATGTTTTCCAACTATATTATACTTTTGTAGAGACTTCAAAACTAAGATATAATTAATGAATCATTTTATATAATCATATAATTCATACTATTAAAATTATATTGTGTTATTATTAAGAAATTAAAAAAAAGAATTTACTTTTTTAACTAATTAAATAAAAAAATACACATAATAATGTTTACTTGTTGGGATTGAACTGCATCAAATAGATTATACAATAAAGTTTGATTAGTATGAGTACAAAATAAATCAAATCTATCCAAGACCATAATTATTGATTTTGACCCACTTCTGTCCCCTGCTTGGAAACTCTCAAGTAAAAATATTATATTATCTAAAAAAAAAAAAAAATTAATTAAAATTTTATAGTTAAAGAGTTGTAAATCAAAATAATCATAATACCAGCAAATGATCCTTCAACACAAGCTCCATCTAAATTTTCCATCTGTAACTGTTGTATAATACTTTTTAAAGCTAAGTTATCATCAGTATGAATTAAACCATCTAAATTAACCAGTGTATGAGACGACGGTAAAAGTAGTTTCAAAACAGATTTAACTAACTGTTATCAGAAAAGTTTTTGTATAAATAATTTTTAAACTATAAAGAAATGACTTACAATTGATTTTCCACATCCTTTTTGTCCTAAAATGATGATGGAATCACTTTCACCAAATTCAGTAGTTTTCTTTACAACTTGTAACAGCTCTTGTTTTTCAGATTCAAATCCATGTAAATTATTATTTAATAATAACGATTTTTTAATATCACTAATACATTGTCTGTAACTTGTTCCCATGATTTTCTCTATAAATAATATAAAAAACATTAAATTACTATTTTATGACTAAAAAGAAATACAAATGTGTTACAATACAAATATTACATGATTAATTGGCTGATGAAATAAAATCTAATAATATATTTTTAGAGTACAAATTTTATAACTAGTAATAATTAATTTAAGAAAATAAAGAAATAGAAATAACCTAATACAAACTATTTCTATATAGTCTTAAGCATTCAATCCATAATCTAACACATAAATAAATATGTATCGGACATACAATAAATATAAAAGATAAAAAATATAATTTAAGTACGCATTATATAATTATTTTTTAGTATATATTGTTGTTAAGTTCGACAAATAATGGTTATCGAAACTTACCTAAGTATAAAATTTTATTTTAAATTAATTCAAAACTAATTTGATATCTTTAGTATAAACTCTCTTAACTAATTTTGAATTGCTCAATGTGATCCAATCTAGATTAATAATACATAATATTTAAATTATTATTGGCATATAAGTAATTATTTTTTATACAAGTATAAATTTTATTATATAAATTAAGATCATGTATTGTAAATCAAAGGATAAAAGACTATAATATAGTCGTTCATATAATATTATAACATTTTTTTTTATTATAAATATTATCGTTGGTACATAATTTTAACTACACTTATTTGGCGGTGAAAATTGATAATGTTCTTATCTAACATTCAGTGATAAGTTAGGTTGGTGATACTGTATTCGAATACCCATATGGTACTACGCAAAATGGCGTTTCCCAATTTACTTTTATTATGTCTTCATCCCCTTCAGTCGTGTGTCCGCTAGTGTTGTGTTTTTTTTCTGAAGGAGTTTTGTTTTTGTAAAAAAAAAAAAGAAACTGCTCAATGTTTTATTGTTCGAATTTTGAGTTATTTTCAAGGGATTGGGCTGAAAATGGATTGTTCATTTAGAAAAAGTAAGTATCCATTTCATATCAGTCTTAAAAAAATACGTGTCAACGTGTGAAATGCGTGCAATCGTGTATTTTACATTCAGGCACAACCTTCACTCTCACTATAGTCTTTACAGAGAAGTAAAAACATTATCATTTTCTTATTGTTGAAAATTGAATTTTAGTGACTATTAAATTGCTTAGAAAGTTAATTTAATACTTTAGTTTAATGCTTATGCTTTAAATCTGGTAATATTTTGAAAAGTAAAAATTTTAATATAAAAGAAAATTTTTTTCCTAAAATTAGGTTTTTGTTATTTAATTTTATGTTTTACTTTAGGTAATAACTATTTTGTTATACTTTATGTATACTTAAAAGTGAAATTTTATTGTATTACTTTGATTAATTGATTATTTTAATATTCATCTATATTAAGATAGTGTTTACTTTATCAAAATTATATTCTTCTTCTTTTTTTAACACAATTAGTTACAATTTTATTTATCTTTCTAATTTAATAATAAATTAATTAATAAAACTATAATTATACAGGATGATAATAGTTAGATGGCATTCCAATATCAGTGAAATTCTAGATGGTGAAGACTTCAAAAACTTTTTGGTTATTTATTTTCTTTTATTTTGAGTAGTTTTCTTTTTATCTTCAACACTTTATGCTCAAAAAATATATATTCTAATGGCTGATCAGCTAAGTGAAACTAGTACTACGACTAATAGTCATGGAGAGAACTGGCCAAGTACAAAACTACCAACTGATTCCGATGTTTCTAATGATGTTTCCAATGGTCAAGAAACTCATAGTTTTGCTGATATAATAAGCACAGCTTTTACGACTACTGAAGCTGTATCAAGTTCTCCAGTAGAAGTAGATTCAAATTTACAATTAGGTAAGAAAATCTACTCTTCATTATAACTTGTCTTAATTTTTTATTTTTATAATATAAAAATAGTTTTTATAGTTAAACCACACAACTGATAATTGATTTTTTTAGTTTTTCAATTTATATCTTTGCAAATCAAAACATTTTGTTTTTTTTTTTGCTTTAATATTTCATATAATTAAAAAGTTATTTTGTTTTTAAAGGTAATGATATGGAGTATGACCCATTATTTGCCGATGGAAGTGATATAGACACTGAAGATGCTCCTCAAGAATTTTCACCATTAAATTCTGATATATGGAGATATGGAAATGCCCTTATTGAAACACCTTGGTCAGTGCCACGTAATGATGAATCATCAAATCAAAATATTAATCATTCAACTACTGTTTCAACTACATCAGAAATTGGTCGTAAAAGGTTGTTGTAATGCAATAAACTATGTTAATTATATTATCATTTATGATTTTTAACCTTATTTATTATTCTAACCAGAGATGTAGGTATAGATTATTAATGAAGGTTTACATTATACTGCATCTCTAATATTTTTATTAAAATTTTCAAAAGAAGGGTGGTGGAATACTTCAAAACTTTCCTTGTTTATTTTATCTCCTCTGTTCTTTATTTTATTTATTTATTTTTTTTTAACACTTTATAACCTCATTAAGAGTCGTAGCGAGGCCTCCCCTAAAAGAGAGAGGTTTCTTAATCTCTTATTGATACTCTGAGATGGTTAATTAGTCCATGGCCAAATGGTAACTCCAATTACCAAACTAATCTCTTGCTCAGCAAATAAAGCCACTCATTACCGAATTTTGAAACCAAGGCAGTGCGTGTCAAGCACTTTTGACTATTGACTCGACCACATCAATTGTCTGTTCTTAATACTAAATTCTTTTCTAGAAACAAAAATGTATGCAATTATGTTATAGATAAATATAATATACAGATAAATGGAGATATATATGTAACTATTAACAGCCATAAAAAATAATTATTATAAAACAAATTAGGTAGCTAATGTTAAAAGATTCATCCTGTATATCTGTATAATAATTGTAATGAACATTTCCCAATGCAAGTTTTACTTATATTGGTTGATATATGTAAAGCTTAGAAAATTTTAATTAAATTACCTGAAAGATATATTTTACAAAAATGTTTGTCCATGAATGCAGTTTATTATTAAAACGAAAAAATAAATAATTTGAAAAATTTTTAAGAACAAAAATTGTGTTTAAATGAGTGGATTTTTATGCTTTAATATATTACATATATATATATATATATATATATTCATTAGTAATCTTATGGTGTCTAATTAATAGATCTTTATTGTCTGGAGATAATAACTTACGAATGAAGACTGGGAAACCTGATACTAATCGAACACTAAGTTATCCTAGGCATCAAATGGTTAATCGAATTTATAGACCACAACGATATAATCAAGATCAAGTGCCACCGACTACTTACACCTCTACTGGTAACCACGGAAATTATAAATATGCTCATAGACCCAATCCACAAATGCATACAACAACAGCTCCTAGTGATCATTTAGTAGCTAGTTCTTCTAATCAATCAAGATTAGTTAACCCACAAGTATTGTCTAGTAAGTTTTAATGTATGAAAATAGTTTTCAATTAGTTATTGCTAATATTTAAAATATTATAATGATTTATACAATTAACCAAAGGAGTCAGCCTTACCTTGTGGGCAGAAACAAGTTTTTTGACGTATAGGGTTGTCCCGAGTTTGATCATTAGGGTGCCAATTAGATTTTTCTTGTGTTTTGTCTTGGTGGTTTTTGGTCTCTAGTGCAACCAGACATAATATTTGTTCCGTTCATCATTGGCCTAGCCAAAACCATGTTTGACTCCCTAACATGTGAAAGAGGACCATCACCCTCTGTAGCATGTTAACTTCGGAAAATAGATGAATGTTAAATTGATCATTATTTATACAGTTAATTTCTCTTATTATGGAATTTGTTATTTGTATCTCTAATTTATGTATTCATTTGATTTTAATAGCCATAAATTCATTTTAGTTGTTTTTTTTTTTTTTTTTTTTTTTTTTTTTTTTGATATAAGANTTTTTTTTTTTTTTGTAGATGATGAGTACACTGTATTTGGTATTAACAACAGTAGTACACCTCATAGTCGTTACAATAATGATCCTCGTAATAGAACTGAATGGAATAACATAATGGATGCAGAGGATGATGAAGATAGTGGTATAGAATTGGTTACTGTTAATAACTATCAATCTAGAAATATTAATCAACTAGTAAGTTTTTAACTAATTTCATTAAGTAGTTTATATCAAAAAGTTGATTGGGACATAAAAATAACTTCAAAATAGTTATCAAATTTCATATTATGTAAATAACAGATATTCAATATTTGCAAAATATCAAGACAACTGATAATTTTTTTTTATTTAGAAGAAAAATCTTACAGCCATATTTCTATTTTAATCAAAGATTGTCTTATCAATTTCAAAGTATAGAAAATTGTGTTATATATAAGACTATTTAACTGAACAATTTTAAATTATTTAAATAGTTACAATATAAAAGTGCTGCTGTTTTTATTGTGCCACAAGCCTTCATCATATTAATTTTTGAAACAGTTCTTATATTTATTATCATTGTCACTCTTAAATTTCAAAATGTTTTCTTTTTAGCCAAATGTTCCTCCAATTGTTGATTTAACTCAAGAGTCTGAAGAAGTTACTGATCCAATGATTAATAATCAAGGAAGAACACCTCTAACAGACATACCATTAGGTCCTCCTATGTTTAGTCGTTATCCAATAATGCAACAACGACAGTATGTTAGTCACTCTGGAATGAGGTCTATGCCAGGTTATAGTCAACAGTTTACTCCTAATCCGTCCCCATTATATCGTAATGATGTAATTTTTATGGATCAACCTCCACAAGCTCCATGTGTACATGCAGCACACCCTCCACCTGGAACGCCTGGATGGCCACCACCATGTAGTCAATGTCATAATACTTCCAGAGTTGTATTTGGAATGGGTAATCATATACATCCACACCATCATCACCATGGAATATTACCTGCACATCCAATGCCTCCTTGTGTTTCCAATGTACCCTTATATCACCAAAGGTTATGGCTTAATCAACATAGAATACAAGAATTGCAAAGAAGAAGAATGGACATGATTAATGGGTATTTACTAATTTTCAATAAATAATAGTTGTCATTTAAATATATATTTGTTATTTAAGTTTTTATTTTTATTGGCAGTGGCTCAGTTCGTTCGTTAAGAAGTATTCCACCTGTTTCGTGTATGCAAGGATATCAGCAACCACCTCAGGCAACACCTGTACATCATGCAATTCATACAGTGTTGCCGCCACCTCAACAACCTAATGTGTTCAGTCGACCTGAAGTAATAACGTCACGTAGAATTGGCCCAACTGCTGTTATTGTATGTTTGAAATATAAATACATAGATTTTACTTTTTATATTTATTAATTTTCAAAAAAATATTATTTTTGCTACTTATTACTTTTTATTAATTATTTAGATTTGAGGTTGTTAATCTTATTTTTGAGTCCATTGGATTTTTTTTTTTATACAAAATTTGTGAATACTTTTTATTTTTTTTAGACTTTATCACCTTCAACTGATGGAATCGAACAAGTACCTCAGCCTCCATTACAGACAGAAATTGTAGTACAGAGTGGTACTTCAAGGTAAACAATAATATTTATTTTTATCTATATTTACTCAATTTCAAATAATAATTAAATGAATATATCTTCATAGTGATGGAGGCCATCCTCATATTCATCATTATTATAATTACCACCCTCCTGGACCTCCTGGTCGAATGCATCATGTAAGAATAAGTATTGGCGCGCCTTCAGGCACTATTGTAAATGTAAGTTGTATTCTCATAGTATCATTAATAAAGTTAAAATATCTTAATAAAATAATTTTTAAGTGTTTTATCTCTAAATATAGGTAAATTAATTATTAAAGAATTCATTTTTTTTTTATTTTCAGTTCTATATAAATCATATATTTTAATTTTAATAGGGTAGTGGCACTCTGGGTCATTGGCATACTGACCAGATTTTGGTTATCATATATATTACATAAATAATCTATTGTACTATTAAATTGTGTTTTATTTTTTAATTAACTCTAATTAGGAATTAAGGAAACAAAAGTATTCTTTTTATAACCTTAAAAAAGACTGCATAATATATCAAACTTAATAATTTCGATTGAGTGGTACTATTATATAAGATTTTTAATAATTAATATTTTTCTTTCCAAATATTGTGTATAAAAAAAATGTATGTATAATATTTTAATAGACCACACCAACAATACCTTCTCAGCCAGGAACTGATATGCCCCAACTTGGACCAATTACTCAACTGGGTTCCTTACCTATGTTAACAAGGCATCTTTCATACCGTTTAGAAGATTACTTACGGTTAATGGAACAACGCCGTGCACTCATGATGAATCGTGGTGCTTCTAAAGATATCATAGAAAAAAATACTTTCCCCCACAAGTACAAACGAGTAAGTTATATACATTTTTATTTTAACTAAACTATAATTGAAAAAAAAAAAATGTTTATTAAATTTGAATTTATGTTCATATTTAATATTATATTATTGCAGCAATTAAAGTATTTAAATGAAAAGTAAAATTTTATCTATTTATGTAATTTTAATCTAAATATAATTTTTATGGTTGAGCCAATATGAATTTTTTTGAAGTCCAAAATTTACTGTCAACATGAAACTCATTTCATATTTTAATATGAAATGAATGTTGACAAGAAAGTAGAGCAGAGAATGAGTGTAGCAAAGATGAGAATGCTTAGATGGATGATTGTAGCGACTAGAGAAGATAGGATAAGGAACGAGCATATAAGAGGGAGTATAAATGTAGCATCAATTGTTAATAAGTTGAGAAAAAATAGACTTAATTGGTTTGGTCATGTTATAATGACAGAGGAATCGGAAGCTGTAAAAACAGTTATAGAAATGAATGTTGAAGGATGAAGAGGTAGAGGAAGACCAAAAAATAGATGGAAAGATGTTATTAAATGCGATATGAGGACAGTTGATGTGAGCGTAGATGATGTGGGAATTATGTCAAGGGGAAGCTTAGGGTAAGGGTGGCCAATCCCAAGTGGTTGGGATTAAGGTGAGGAAAAAGAAGAAGAAGGAATATTATTAATTTTCTGTATTTCAAAATAAATTAAAAACTGTAGTATTCTAACCATATTATGTATGCATAGGATACTATTGTGTATTGCCCCTTTATCAATCTTATGTTTTGATACTTAGTATCTAACATATTTCTAGGGCAGATTTTCATGTTTAACAAATTTCTTAAATTATTAAATCATATTTTATCATTGAACCTTTTTTTTCTTTGCTAATATTTTGGTTCTATGTTATTATTTTAATTATATCATATTTTACATATAAAACATAAACCATTGATTTGTCACTAATTTTCATTTACTACAGAAATTGAATATTTGATTTAACTAAAAATTTAAATAAAAAAAAAGTAGAATAATAGTTATTAATTTTATGAAATAAAAAGGGTTGAGTAATCTGGTTTTGACTACTTTAGTTTATAATTAAACTGACCACAAGACTACAAGATATAAAAATATCAATTAAAGAATTCTTATTTTTAAATGATGTAACCATTTTTTATTTTATTTATTATAGATATATATGTATGTAAATAATTTCTTGCAGATTAAAAGATCTTCAGATGAAATGGAAGATAATACAGAGAAATGTACTATTTGTCTTTCTGATTTTGAAGATACTGAAGATGTTAGGTGAGTAATTTTATTTGGTGTTGTCTGCACTTCTATACCTAATATATTATGTAGGGTGATGCTTATTTTAAAAATGTGATACTAAATTATTGAAATTATGTTCTATACATTATACAGAAAATTTTGATGAATTTTAAATATTCTGATTTGACCCCTTAGTATGCCTCAAAAGTGTAGAACTTTTTAAATATTACAATTAGAAAAAATTGCATATAATCAATATTGTAGTAAATGGTTTTGTTTTGAAAAAAGAATCTTTATAAATTTTTTATAAAATTTATCAATATGTAAGTAATGAAAATAGCTTAATTTTCATGAAAAACTTAAAAATTTTGCCACTTTAGGAAATATGTCTAAACATAAGTTGTGTTATTTAACATTTATGTTAACATTAAATCATTTTCGCATTAAAATTATTTCAGTGGTAAAAATTAATTAATTAAAATCTGAAAATTTTAATACATTTTGTTTTAACTAATGACCAATAATTTATATTATCCTAATTAAAACAAGCAATTTCCATTTAACTATATCTACTTTATTAATGTTGAAATTATATTTTGGTTATTTTACATCAGTTATTCTTCAAGTCATTATTTTTAATAAACATATAGCCTGTAAAATTGTAATAATAAGCTTTGAGTTTTCGTTATTTATTGGTTAACGTAACTTACTTAAATAGAAAGCATTTTTAAATCTAGGCAGGAGTAGATGTGTAGCTGTCTAATAATAAATATTGTAATATGTTGCATCTCTTCTTCAATCTAAAGTACTTTTTCAAAAGTTGTTATCGACCTGACATTTTCTTAATTAGATCATTTTTTATTTTATAAACTAGTTAAACATGTATGTTGTCACTAAAAAAATATAGTTGATACCCTTCTAAGGTATGAATTAAAAAAGTAATTCTTCTTCCAAGTTTATTCTAAACTTCCACTTGACATGATCTCTCACAACATCTACGCTCACATCAGCTGTCCTCATATCGCATTCAAAAATAAAATTGCAAGATATATGAAACTAAAAAGTTCCAAAATTAATTTTCTTAACACAATAATTACTTTAAGAAAAATTAAGTGGCTAGCATTAAAAGAATTACTTTATATATATTATTATAGATTAATATTGTTAACCTTATCAGATATGAAAGCTATACAATATTACCATAATAACCCCTTGGGGGGTATGAGTTAATATGATTGCCAAAAAAAATTTTATCATAAAGATACTATGATAAAATCCTAAAATTTCATCATTTTACAGGAATGGTTAGATAAAACATCCTGTGCTTAAAAAAATCTCACCTATTAGAGCTTAAATCATTTACGTGACTTTGAAAAATAGTTGAAATTAAATTTTTATACTATAATATTAAGTATACAACAAGTGGACTCTAAACTATTAATATTTAAAATTTCTGTATATACCATTAATTTCCTTTTTTTACAGGCGACTGCCTTGTATGCACTTATTTCATATTGAGTGTATTGATCAGTGGCTTTCATCTAATAAACGGTGTCCAATATGTCGTGTGGACATTGAAACCAAAGAAACTAAAGATGCTGCTGGATCACCTTTACCAACAGAATCTCCGTTTTTGGTACCTACCTGACACGGCGATTTGGTGGTAATACCACCTATTGAATCATGCCCTGCATTTTCCCCTGCTACATAAGGGGTTAAAATGTTGTTATAATAGAACTACATTGCTAAATATCATTCTTTTAATGGTTTTTTTCGTGACCAGATAATAAATTGTTACCCTCGCCTACACTCTAGGGTTTTGTGTGTGATCATGTTTTAATAGAAATAATGCACACTAGCGTACGCGAGCTTTTCCATTCATAATGTGATAATCATTTATTTTATTTTTTATATCTCTTATTTTTTTTCATTTTAGCAATTTGCATGTTTTTGTTTTATTGGAATTTAACATACAATTTGTGTTTTTATCCGTAGTGCAATTTTCTCTTTGTTACAAAAATAGCCAAGAACCATTTTTCTAAATATTGAATACTTAAAAATTATCATTCAATAGTATTATAGATATTAGATACCATTAAAAAGAAATACTCTTCACCCTTCCTTACAAAGTAAATGTTTTTTTATTTAGTAATTATAAAAATTTACTGTATGATTTCAGTAGATTTTTACTCTTGTGTGAACTAATTTAACATCATAACTAAAATTATATTTTATTAAACTTGACAATGTCTACTCTTCAAAAGAAAATATATATATATATATATGTTTTTTTAATACTAAATAGGAGTATATTTGAAATAATTGTATGCCATTTTATTTTATATGTTGTGATTTGTTGGTAAAGTTTTGAAAACTTTGAATTAATTTTAAGTTTAACAGCTCATAACTAAATTGTTTCTGTAGATTTTATGATTAAAAACAAAAATTTTAGCCTTTTTATTGTTACCATTGCACAATTTATTTCATAGTGTAATGTTTTAATAACATATCCTTTGGGCTTGTTTTATTTTATTATATTTATTATTATTATTTCATGTTTTATTGGTAATTTTGTTATCAGAAATTTAATGAGGTAGTGAGTAGCTTATATGTTGTTAGTAGTGATATATTTACATACGTATTTATAGTTTAGATTTCAATTTATTATTTTTGATAAATATTGTTTTTTTAAATTATTAAATTTAATCGCGTCAGATAATTTCGAATTTACCCAACACCCTAAGTACCTGCAAAAAAATTTTATGAACATAAATATATCAAGTTTTACTAATTATTGGACTCTTAATATGTAAACACTACTTGTGAATTATGAAAGATTTATTCAACAAAATGTCTATATATATATACAAAATTGTTATAAAATCCTTATACATTTAAACAAATTAATGACCTGAACCAATGTAATGCAACATTTTCGGTGAATTTTCTGTGCCCTAATAATTGCACTGAACTATTTAGCCTATAGCATCAAATTAATTTTCCTTATTTTGGTGATGCATTTCCCTTTTTATTGATCTCTTTAGTTTTAAGCACTAAATATTTAACTGTATGCAAACTAATTATTATGACCATATTTCAAAAATACTGACCATGTGTTTTATCTCTAGAAATGTATTTTGTCTGATTTTGCCAAGTCTATTGTGATAATAACTCAATGTGTTTCTCTATATTATATATATATATATATTATGATAATCACCCTCTTCCAATTTTAATATGTACGTTGCTTACTTTTTTTTTTTAATTAGATTTTCATAAGCCTTTTTTTGTATATTATATATTGTTACAAATGTAAATTACTTATTTTAATTGCGTAATTCTGTGTAATAATATACTAAACAATTTTGAGAAATATGTATTATACAACTACATAAAATAAAATAAAAAGATATACATATATTAAAAAATAATTTTGTTTATTAAAAAAAAACAACACTTACAGCCATACACCACATATTATATAAATATTATAATTGAATAAAACTATTTTCAACTATTGCAAATATCATCAGTAGTACAAATATACTTGAAGAATGACTAAATTAACACCAATAATTTAGGTTTGTTCATTATTAAAATAATTAATATTATAACAAACTATTTGGTTATTACTTTAATAGTTAAATACCATTATTGGCGTTTTTGTAAAAAAAAAAAAAAAATTGATAAAAAAGTTCTTTACAATTATTTATTTTGGTCATTGGCTGACATCTGTGTTAAAAAGTTCCATATATTTTCTTTAGATGTTGATTTTAATCTTCATCTTCTCCTGATTCCGATTCTACAACAAATAAATTATTTTATGAATGTATTAACATGCTTATCATAAGATCAAAAGAATTGAACAAAACTATCAAAGCAATATTATTATCAGACAATACTTTCACAATGATTATGTTATAATAGAATTAAATGAAGGATGGGGCAGACATGACTCTAGCTAAATGGCAGCTAACCAAGAAAGTAATAACTTCAAGTGATGTAAAATAAGGCATAAATGTGTTTGGCAGTTATATTAAGTTGCAGACTATGACAAAACATTTCCTGCACTTTTGCAAGAAAGTTGAGATCTAATTGGTCCCATTTTTGCAATTTATGTAAAGCATACTCTGCCTACAAATATCAACCTAAAAGCTGGAGAAAGTTAAAGGTGGTGTTTGAACTCTAAACCTAACTTCTATGAAGCAAAATCCTACTAATAACTCTTACTTAATTTCTTAAGACTATAGAAAAACTTATTGATGATAGGTACATAAGAGGCGTCTCTAAAGGAGGACAAGAACAAACATTTGTCACTAACAGGGAAATCTACTGACACTGCTCTATATAATTTATTATCCAATAATATGGGAAAAGTTGTAGAGAATAAACTATATGCATTTTTCTGGACATTAATTTTATCAAGTATTATGATAATACCACAATAGACCTATAACTCTGAGTAGTTCTTGTCCACCTTTATAATAACTAAAACCAAAAAACTTGTAGTATATACAGACTCCAAGAAACCAAGAAAAGTAAATGCTAGAAAGATATCCATTATATGAACATTAGAGGATGGAACTCAGACTAAGTGTGTGAGCACCGAAGGCAATTATTCATCTGTTTAATTTACCTCTGTTAAGCATTAGATTCTTTATAAATAAATAAAGACATCACCAAGACAGAGGTAGCAATAAAATTATGGTATATTAGGTACTAATTAAGTGTTTTTAATATAATTAAGATTATCAAAAAATTTATTTAAATATGATAAAATTTTAAGATTTAATATTAACTGATATATGAATACTAGAGGATGGAACTCAGACTAAATGTGTGAGCACCGAAGGCAATTATTCATCTGTTTAATTTACCTCTGTTAAGCATTAGATTCTTTATAAATAAATAAAGACATCACCAAGACAGAGGTAGCAATAAAATTATGGTATATTAGGTACTAATTAAGTGTTTTTAATATAATTAAGATTATCAAAAAATTTATTTAAATATGATAAAATTTTAAGATTTAATATTAACTGATATATGAATACTAGAGGATGGAACTCAGACTAAATGTGTGAGCACCGAAGGCAATTATTCATCTGTTTAATTTACCTCTGTTAAGCATTAGATTCTTTATAAATAAATAAAGGCATCACCAAGACAGAGGATATGGAAATTTCATTTTTCTGTTTCTATGCTTATTTACTTAATATCATGCTTGTTTTTACTCTTGGTTGAATATTAAAAAAAAATTAAGACAGTAATTTTGAATTTTAACTGATATAGCGATGCAACTATAATTACAATAGAACTATTGGTGACATGTTTATAATCAAATATTTTAAGTTATTAAAAGCATGATTTTTTAAATTTAGAAATATCTCAAAGTATTAATAAGAATCAATTGTAGGTTAATATTTTAATCTTTGCTTTGAACATAATAAATCTTAATAATTTAGAAATTAAAAAATACAAATTTAATCTACCTTTGTTAAGTATTTGATTCTTTAATAATAAATACATCACAAAGATAGAAGTTCAAACAGAATTAAATAAAATTTATCAAATAAGATAAATATTATTTTAAAGAGATGTTGTTTAACTTAATTCTCATTCATTTATTCAAAAATATATATAAATACCTTCTTCAGCATTTTGAAGCCATTCAATAAATTTTTTCATTTGCTCCAAAAATGTTGTTTTACCTTTGGAGTGTCCTTCTTTGTACCATTTTAAAATAACTTCTTCAGTCAAAACATCAGCTGAAATATTACATGAGATAATAGTTTAATAAAATTATATAGTGATGTTAGATAGTATAACCCTACTTTTATAGAAGAGTAATATTATTTTTTGGAAGACTCTCATGAAATTCATATTTTCATAACAGTATTCTTGAACTTTGAGCATTAGTGCTAATTCAGAACGTGCAGTAGTTGAAAAAGCTGAAAACAATGGTGAATATTGTTTAAGATGTTTAAGTGCTTGATCAGATAATAATTCTTCTTTTTTATTCCATTCAACTTGTCGCATTACAACACTCCACACCTAAACCATAACATAAAATCTTAATCCTGAACAGTTATTACTACTATAAAATTTATATTATCACAGTTCATTAATAATTTGATACTTGTGTAGAGCAATAATATAAATTAAATCTCATAAAAATTTATATTTTTTAATATGCTGAATTTGAGTTATTTCATAATTATATCATAACTAAACAGTATAATACAAACTACTTAAAGACCACTTACTAAAACTAAAATTTCATGTTCTGGAATATCATGTTTTGATGATAACTCCTTAATATTTGAAATGATTTCTTTCATATGTTTGCCATCATTAAGATCATCATGCAACTGCACTTCTAAGTTACGTTTAGCTTCTTGACTGGCTTGAGCTAAATGTAATTTAACGACATCAGTCAATCCTTTTTCTTCAAATTGTGCTCGAAAATGTTCTTCAGTTCGTTTGTTAGGAGGCAAGAAATCCATTAATCGACCTTCAAGTCCTCCCTTCTTTAATATTGTCAATAAATGGGTGATACCGACTTCTTGTTTGTAAGTTACAAATAATTCAATGAGAAACTCTAAAGCCAGCCCATCTTTAATTAGATGCTCCTAAAAATGTATTAAATAATGAAAAATCGATCTTAAGTTAAAATATAATATAACCATTACATTGGTGAGAACTTGAAGAACAGTTGGAGGTATTGAACCATTTGCAATCCATAAAGTTGTCATGCGAGCTAATTTAACACGCTCTATGTCACTAAAACCTTTAATGAATAGCAAAATTTTTTTCATTTCCTCTTCAAACATTTTTTCCAAATATTTGTATCGACGCATGAGTTTGATAAACACCTGTTCATAGTTTCGCATAGAAACCATGTCTTCCGGTGCTTCAAAAACACAAGCATTTGTTTTCCACAATTTGTCACCATCTTGAGATATTGATCCTCCCGGAACTATTATCCACAAGTAATATATATTAAGATGAGCAGATTAATCAAAATTAATCTAATGAACTTTACCTAGAAGACCTCCAGCAATTAATATATCAAAAAGGACTTCACCATAACGCCGATAATCAACTTTAGAACCAGCTTGATCCAGGAACTTCCAAATAGCCTCTAAGTCAGTGCCGGCACCATTAAGGCCTCCAAGAATATAGTCCCGGAAGCCAAAAGGGTCGTACTTTTCTTTTTCATCTGTTAAAATCATAATACAATTAAAATCTCAGTATCAAATAATGACTATTAAATAAATAGTAACCTCTTTTTCTGGTCTTGATGCGTTGACCTGACAGTACCGGTTTTTCTGTTTTTTGACTCATACAACAACTCGCTAAAAGCACAATTTAACATATATTTAACTAACCTTTGTAAAATATGGTCAACAAGTGATACATTTAATTAAAAATTATACAGAAACAATTTTATTTTCTTAAATATTAGGCACATTGAAAAAATTTTAAGAATATTATATTACTCAATGCTAAAATCACATAAAAATCAAACACTTAATGATTATGGTAAGAGCTTTTTAAATTTTAACTTGTGTTAAAAAAATCACTCATTCACTTCTTGCTCAATGTCAATAATGTTACCCGGATCAACACATTTGAGACAAGTTATCATACAAGTATATCTAATTTACAATAAAAAAAAAGAAAATTATAATGTAACTAGTTTATGTTTTTTAAAAATCCAGCTTAATAGAAAAATATTAAAGTGGGGAAAACAATTTAAATAGTAGAATTATTGGCTTAGAAAAACTAAACTCGAACCTAGCAGAACGTACATAAAATATTTCGTAAAAATGATTAAATAATTAACGTATTGACCAATTTAAATTTAATAGGTTATAAATATAAACTCCATAAATCATTATGTATCTTTTGATACAAAGATTAATAGTTACAAGCTCTTTATTAATCAATTAATTCATTTTTCATAGATGAGACTAGATATAATAACTAAACAGTCAGATGTCTTAACATGTAAAGCGCATGTTAATATTAAAACTTATGTGTCGACCATGTGGATTTTTGTTGATACATTGGCCCAATACAGAAGTAGTGTTATAAAAAAAAATACGATATCGAATTTAAATCAAATTTAAAAAATAAAAAAATAGAAACAATGAAGGAAGAAATACATTCATGTCAAGGACAACAGATATGTGTTGGAAGTTTATTTTCAACAAAACAATGGAGATATTGGCATTTCCGTTAACAAAAACAAAGGTTTTAAACATAATTAATTTAAATATTCCTGGTTAAAAATTATTACTACATAAACTAGCTAAATATTTATAAAAATTATAAATTAAAAAAACATTTCCTACTTACAAACAAACCTGTTAGCAACGCACAGATATTTAAAAAAACTAGTACGACGGTAAAAATCTGCGAAAGGAAAAGAAAGACTAATGATTGAGTTATTGTGTGCGTTGTACTATTCTTCGTATTTGGTTGGCTATACATGACAAGTCACTGCCCTAAAGTAGGTTAGCAACACTTATTATACAGAACTGTGATATGTTAGTATTTCTTGAACATTCATTGATTTTAATTTTAAATACTGTAATAAAATATCTTTAATGGCTTCTGTGATACGAATTATTTTTTACTATATAATTTATGTCTTAAATTTTATATTACAAAATATTTCATGTTCATATATAAACAAAATTTTAACAGGTTAGCCACTTTCAATATGCCCGGTAAATTTAAAAACAAAAGTTGTTAAAAAAAATTTAGATCAATAGGAATTACAAAATATTTATTTATACTTAGTGACTAAGTGATATTGACTAATAACTGTTAATTCATGTTATACTATTATAATGACTAATAATTGTCGTAAGTAATTGCAATAATTAATAAATATCTGTTTTTAGTGCATTTAAAAATTAGAGATTTCTTTTTTAATTTCATTTTTAGTTTAGAATCTATTGGTTTTACTTTATCGTGTTTTTTTTTTTGTTTGTAGACCAAATTAATCAATTTAGTTTTTAAACTTAAAAAAATACCAAGGTAAAATATATTACTTTAATAGGTAATTAAATTTCATCTCATTCAATGCATAAATATGGGAATACCCAGTATGCTAAAGTTAGCTTATTTTACGCTTAATAAACATCGGAAGAAATTAATTGCACGATGTGTTTTGTAGTTATGAACTGTCGACGATAAGTTGTATTTATATACACTTCTTGCGTTGATTAATGCAAGTTTTTCAAATATGTTATTAATAATTTTTAAGTTTTATACTTTAAATATAAAGCACTTTTTCAGCGAGTATAAAACTATTATACTAATCAATGAAAACAATTAATATATAGATTATTAAGTTTTAGTTTTACGATCATATGATTTATATACATAGATTATCCAAAATTTATTTTTGGTATATTTATTTATATTTGGTAATATTTATTTTAGAACACGATAGTCAAACTAATTTTCAAATCTACTATTCTACAATGTATACAGTATCATAATTAAGGTTTAGTTATCTGTAGTCGCCCCTCGAATTATTTTTCAAACCTATTTTAGCCTGAAATTATAAAAATTTGCTGTTCTTAAATTAAAGTGAAAATATATGTTTTAGGTAGTCCATTAACAATTTCACAATACACAAAACAATTTTTTTACATATAAAAGCATATTTTGAATTTAAGAGAATATATAATAAAAGAATATTTTTACATATTTCATTATGATTTTTAAAGAATATTTACTATTTTAGAATATATTTTGACTATTGACTAAATTAAGAAATATTATTCCGATCTCTATCAATGTCATTACTTTAAACAATAACTTAGCAGCTTATGACATACCTTTTGAAAATAATTTGGTTAATATTTAAATGACACTTAACATATCAATTTTTTTTCTTGTGTATTATTATTTTGTTTTTCAGTATTATTTATTTTTGAGTATTAAAGTGGTTTATGATAAACAAATCACTTTATATGCATATATATATATATATATATATATTACTTAATAGAGAGGATCAGTTAAAAGTGAACATACATTTCGTTTTTTGGATAAATGCTGCTTTAAAAAAAACCTTTTTATTATTAAAAAAAATAGTGTTATAGTTTTTTTGCTATTGAACATAATTTTTTTAATAGTTAGATAACATATTAAAGAATAAAAAGAGTCTTCATTATATAAAAATATATTAAATAAATATTTTTATTTACATAAAAAAATAAATTTCAATGATTATTATTTGAAATATATTGAAAACATTTATATATTTATATATATATAACATTTAGAATGCTAAACTTTAACAAAATACTTTTATGTATACAACAAAACAACAAAAATTTACATTTATGCTAAACATTAACTTAAATATTTTTTCGACAATAAAATAATATATAAGATTCTGAAGAACAAACCATATTTGAATCAATTTCATAAACACGAACATCATCAAACTTATACCATCTATAATAAAATAAATAAACAGTTTTATATTTATGAAAAATGAAAATTTTACATTGTTATTATTTTTTTATTATTACTTGTTCATCTGTTTCTTGAGACAATAAGCTGTATAATGACCACCATCTAATGAGCCTGAATGATTAGATACACCATATAAATAATATTTCCTATTACGATGTTCTAGACCATTTATAAAGTCTGTCATATCCAAATCAATATTTGGAAATTGAACAAATGAATTTTTTTTATATCCACTACTTGAAAATCTAATAGAAAAAATAGTGATAAGTAAAATTGTTTAATATTCAATTATTTATTTTTTTTAATTTTATTGGTCAATCTTTTATAATATTTTAATATTTAATTAGCTTAAATAAAACTAAATTTTAAATTAAGCATACTTAGAATATATAATAATATACATTTTAATTTAAATTTTGATATTAAACTTTTGGAGAGGATATTCATAAAAAATGTTTTTATTACCTCCTCCAAATGAAAAAAAAAATAGTATTTTAACCACAATAATTTTTAATGGGAAATCTATTCTATTTCCACCCTTCCCTCATAGAACAGAGCCCCAACAATTATGACTTGCCTCAGCTACTGTAAAACCTTGCACAAACACTGTATGATAATAAATATAAATATAATTAAATACTAAAAAACTAAAATTAATTTCACACAAACCTTTTTAAGTGAATTATCAAATAGGGCGGTAGTCTCATTATGTCTAACTTTTTTGTAGCATCTCTATTGCGTTTACACTTAGGACAATTCCATCCACTAATTGATTCACCATTTAAGTATAACTTTAAGCAGTCCTATAAGAAAATAATAGAGAATTAAATATTGAATAGTGTTAGAGAGAAGATTACAAATTTAACAATAATATTTTAACATTGTCGAGCTTAAAAATTAACTCTTAAAGTCAGGTCCAAAAATTAAGATTTATTTTTTAAGAAGGTTGTTTCTATGTACAAATTTTCTCACTTATTACTTATCACAAAAATTAATGAGCAAAAAAAAAAAATGTCTTCAACTTGAAACAAAATTTCCATTTTGATTTTGAGGAATTTTCCATCGTCTCATACCCCTAAGATTATATAAGTATGGAGTGCTTAATTTGTATATATTCCTTGATAACAATAAGAGATTACTCAATCGTCATGTAATGTGATTACTATAAAATTGATTAATTGGTTCTCTTTAAGTAAAACTATTCAAGTTAAACTTAAATTTTGTCTAAACATTTATTTTTATTAATTAATATTAAATGATTACAAACATTCTTGTACCACACCCTCTTTGGATCAATTCTCAAATACTCTTAAAACTTGTTGCACCACTTCTACAGACTGCTATTTAAAAATAGTATCAATAATAATAAATAATTTTTGAGCTATAACAATTCTATGTATTAAAAGTTATAAAAAAAATGTTATGATATTTTTGTTCTTAGTTTTTTTTTTATATTTTCCTACTTGTATTCCAAAAATTGATATTATAATAAGAAATTCCATGAAAATAAATATTTGTATTAAAAGGGAAAAGTATTGAATAGAAATAAATAGGTTTTAAAAATTTTGTTTAAATTTAAATTCTAGATATTCATAACTGTTATTATCAGAATCAGAGTAGTTGTGGTTAATTGAATAAGTGCTACATAAATATAGTAATAAACATACATTTGCAGGTTGATAACTTGAAATTTTTTGTTTGAATAATTACTCTTTATAGTGAACCATGAATAATTCATATCAAATTAATTTATGTAAAGCATTATAATACTAGGTAATACAAATATGAAATAATGTATTACTTACTGATAGTGTACACCTATTACCCTCAGACGGTAGAGGTAAACTTAAACTTGAAAATGGTTCAAAAGTAATTGATTTTTCAGAACATATGTTGCAGGAAACAGATGACTTTTGCTGACCATAAAATAATTGTTGAATTATAGAGTTGTTATCTTTAGTCCAATGTCCCCAATCTTCCTCGCCAGTTTCTTTAGAAGCACCAATAATTATTCTATTATTTTCTGGCTAAAATAAGAAGCATTTATAAATTTTAATATTTGATTAATAGGTAATACAAAAAAAA